TATTCTATCTAAATTATGTAATGCGTGGCCACATACATAGAAAGCTGTAATTCGACTATTTCGAGGCGGGTGGTGAAACTTCCCACAATCTTTATAAACACACACACACACCTGATTCTTCTGTGTCTTGGCGTTCATGCGCTTGATCTCTGTCGTGATGTGATTTCTCAAAGACTCTCTCAAGACCTTATCTTTCACCTTGAACAACTTGAAAAACAGCTTGAACACCTCGATCACTCTCGCGTCCCCCTTCCCCTTCATCATCATCACCGCTTGGCACATCTCTCTCCTTAGCAACGGCTGCATCACACTTGCATAGTTCTCTAGGAGAGACATGGTGCGTCCCTGTACATGGTCACCATGTTTCGGATACCGTGTGCATGTGTGTGCCAGGAACGTGGCTAGTTCCCCGAAGTTGTTTGAATCGGCCGAAGGGTTTAGTGTGAATATCTCTACACTGGAATCAAAGTGTCGCAGTTGTTGCAGGAATTCTTCCTGGTATGATTCTGGGTCACGTTTGATTAAGTTCTGTAGTTGTAGGAGTGTTAGTGGGGCACCGTTGTCGCCCTGCTGTTTCTTGCCCATCTTTCTTCGAGTCCGGAATTCGTATATAAGTATATAAATATAAGTGTATGTGTATGTAGTTGACTATATGATTATGTTTGTCTATATATTTGTATATATACGTATACAGCTATCGGTACATAAGCATATATGAGAACTTACATGTATATGCGCGTATACGATATATAATTATACAAGAATAGTATGTACCGACTGCATTACCCTGTGGTTTATGATATTGCTTTGTCTAATTATATATAAAATGAATGTGTACTTATCGCAATAAAATCACTACACGTGCACGTGCTCATTCAATTACGTCATAGCTTTTTGGAAAATCAAACAAAAAAATCAATCAAATGTATTATGTATTGATTGTATTCTCTTATATTTTAGTTTTTATGTGTCCGTATACCATCTTTAAAGGTTTCAGAGATACGTCCATATAATAGATAGTAGAGATACATAGCGTACATTGCTGGTCGTATACGCTTATTGTTTGCACAATGGTAGTAAGTAACTGGGACTGTGCTCACCCCGATCATTGGCATAAAGTGCTTGCACACAACGATGACATCGACATGCAGTATGGACCCTTAAGGCTCACTCCTCATGCAACACCTGATTCTGTATGTGAGATAGATGCAGTCACTATAGATAGACCAGAAGAAGTGGGTAAGCATTCCGTAATAGCGAAAACTAAAGATGGAGAAAATAATCCAGTGGTAACATCAGATGATGAGCATGACTACGATTGCAACACATCGGCACGGACGGAGGAAAGTGCAAGTATAAATTGCCCACAAGAATTTCAGAGTACAAACGACGTACAGTTTATTCACAACACAATCAATCGCGTAAATGGGAGGTTAGATATTAATGCACGTAAACCCCTGTCTTATCCAGAAGTGACCGTGCAAACATCGGATTTGGTGACACATAGCACACACTTTGAACTGGAGTCTATAGAGATCTACTCGTCGGCTGCTTCTGTGGAGGTGAAGAGTGCTACGGGTTATATAGGCACATACCGCAGTCAAGAGGGCATTGACCAGTAAGTAGTGCTATGTTTGTGTCCCCTGAAATGCAGTAGTTGTGTATTTCATTAACGTATATTTGTGCACAAACGTGTGTTCGTACACAATGCCTGTGCATGTATAAATATGTCTGATGGAACAAAAAGAGAGACAGGGGTCATATAGGTGTCTGTGGTAGTGAGAAGGGCGTGTGCCAATAGTTTGTCAATAGGTAGAACTGATATATATATATATATATATATGTACGTGTGTTGTGTGTGCTATTTGTGTGTGTGTGTGTGAGTGTGAGTGTTTGAGAGAGAGAGAAAGAGAGAGAGTGTGTGTGTGTGC